AGTTGGTGCGTACTGTGTTAAAAAAACTGTTAGATGCTCGATTATATTGTAAGCTATCAAAGTGCGAATTTCACAAGGAGCGCATTGAATACTTGGGATTCCAAGTTTCAACAGCTAGTATAGAGATGGATCCCAGTAAAGTACGAAGTGTATTAGAGTGGCAAGCCCCAAAGAGCCGTCGCCAGTTACAACGGTTCTTGGGGTTTGCTAATTTCTACCGGCAATTTATTCCCTCTTTCGCTGATGTGGCACTGCCGTTGACTCAACTATTGCGTACCAAGCATACTGCAAGGAAACCCCGCCCGGGACAATCTTTGGACTGGACTGTCGCCTGTCAATGGGCGTGAAATGGGCCCTGTCCACATGGCGCCATTTGTTGGAAGGCGCACAGCATCCCTTCGAGGTGTGGACAGATCATAAGAACTTAACGGTTCTCCAAACACCGAGGAGATTAGCTGTTCGTTGGGCGCAATATTTCCAACGATTTAGGTTCCATTTTAAAGTTGTTCCAGGGGGGAAGAACTTCCTAGCGGACGCACTCTCCCGTATACCGCAATACGACAGCAAAAAGGAAGAGGTGGTCCAGGCTATTATGCCTCCTTGTGACGTTGGGTTCATACGAGCAGATGCCTGCGCAAAGACGACAGCATTCGATGATGAAGTAAAGTCAGTTCTGTTGAATGACTCTTGGTTACTAGCTAATCCCGGATTGTTGACCTACCGAAATGGTTTGGCCTGGTACGGTGATAGGTTATACGTACCACAGAAGTTGCGGGACCGAGTGTACCACCGGTGCCACGATTCCAAACTAGCAGGCCATTTCGGGTTTTTGAAAACATTACATTTAGCAAGACGTCAGTTCTGGTGGCCGAGTTTGAGGAAGGACATTGAAAGGTATGTGAAAAGGTGTCACGTTTGCGCACAGGCGAAGGTAGTCCCTAAAAAACCAATGGGTTTACTCCAATCAGTATCTAATCCAACTCGGCCATGGCAGGATATTTAGATGGACTTTATAGTTGATTTACCAAATGTAAAAGGATACACAGTTATATGGACGGTGGTCGATTTATTTTCAAAGCACGCCCATTTCATACCATGTAAGGGACTACCATCAGCGAGGAAATTGACTAAAATGTTCGTACAACAAGTTTATCGATTGCATGGAGCGCCTCGCCGGATTATTTCGGACCGGGGTGTCCAATTTACAGCTCATTTCTGGCAGTGATTTCTAAAATTTATTGGTACCACACAAGGGCTTAGTTCTGCATATCACCCTTGTACCAATGGGGCAGCAGAGCGGGCCAATGCGGCTATAGAGCGATATCTGCGGTGTTACGTGTCCTACCAACAGTCAGATTGGGTAGATTTTGTACCATTTGCAGAGATCGCATATAATAATGTGGTACATAAAAGTACTGGCCTAACCCCATTCCAAGTGGTTTATGGACATGACATTGCTCCACTACCGGAATGTAGGGCCCGGGAAACCCAGGTCGGTCAACCAAATGAGTGGTTGTCGCAAGTAAGTAAGGTATGGAGTACAGTACAACACGCTCTGGAGCGGGCAGCACAGATGGCAAAATACCAGGCAGATAAAGGTCGTAGAATACCAATTCAATTACGGGTAGGTGACCTAGTGTATCTGTCAACTAAGTATATTAAGCTACAGGTGCCATGCAGAAAATTAGCACCAAAATACATCGGACCATTTCGCATAATCCAGATCCTCAATCCTGTGACGGTGAAGCTCCACTTACCGAAACTACTTGGTAAGATACATCCGGTTTTCCATGTAAGTTTGTTGAAACCCATGGGAGGGCCACCCCATGAGAAACCCCCAGGGCCTGTCATGCCAGGACGGTATGAAATACAAGACATACTTGATTCACGAGTGAGGGGGGGTAGACTTTATTATCTGATATTGTGGAAGGGATACCCTCTGTCCAAAGCCTCTTGGGTAGACGAACAGGACATATCCGCTCCTGATCTGATCCGCAGGTATCACAGAACACTACCACATAAACCAGGGGGTGACTAGAAAGTTTATTGTATGTGTACACTCGCAGAGTTAATCAATTTTCTATTTTTTACTCCAGGGGGCCCTGTGGTGAGGGGGGCCGAATGTCAGACCCAGCGTGATACCTACCTTCCGAAGTTCAGTTAAGGTTCCATGTGTTCCAGCCGAGTCCGGTGGCTTCGTGAGTTACATCGCCATCAACGATATGAAGGTGGTGCTAGGGTGTTCGCAGCGGCAGCCGAATGGGTCATGTGACCATCTCACGTTGACAGAAAACAACCGGACGGATGCTACGCAGCAATAGAATGCGAGAGGAGCCGAATGATTTCAATACTGTTACGACTTGGGTCGCTGGAACCATGACTCTGTGATTGTTAGGAATTGGGTCGCTGGGTCTGACAAAGCTTAGATACCGGGATAGAAAGGGGGGGGGATAATATTGAAAGAGATTAAGTCCGTTGGAGCTACCGAGACTGTAGGAACAAGAATGGTGTGAATGTAACACTTGGACTCAATGTAATATTGAACATAAGTGCTAGCTGGGTTGGGGCGTGGTTAGAGCGGAGGTCTATCACGAGGCGGGTCTGGGGCGTGGTGCGGGTGGAAGCTAATTGACTATTTAACTGTTACTTGGGGTGTGTATTCTGGGCGTGGTGGCGTAATGTATTTAGGGCAATAGATGGAGTTTCCTTTCAGTGCTAACTTCATTTTCATCATAGTGAATAAAACTTGTTGAATACTGCAACGTTCCTGTTTCCTGGCTTTCGTGAAGCGCAGTTAGGACGTTCTGTCATCTTGGTAATGAAAAAAAATGAAGGTAAATAATTTTGTTGAGCTCATAATAGTTAAATACTGTACTGGGGAAGTGATATCAGTAACCAAAACCTATATAAACTGATCATGAATTTTCAATTAAATATCCTGAAAAATGGAAAATCTATCCATGGACAATCCAGTTGTACAAATTAAAACATTTAAAAATTTCAAGGGATGGCATTTGTGGGTGGTACATTTTTCACTATATTTTAGTTAAAAACTTCTTATTTGGCTTATCTGCAGTTATGTTTCTCTAAGTGTCCTAGCAAGGAAACCAATCTATAGGTATTCCAGTGATAAAAAGATGAAGCAGAAATCTCTGAATTAAACAGAGGCTATGTATTATGTCTCTGATGAAGTATACTGTAGCTTACAATTCCTAATTATGTTTGGTTCCAAAGTAGAAGTCCCAATATAGGAAAATGCCAGCAATGCTGTAAAAAGTTCAGCTAAGAAAATTATTAAGGACAACAAACATGTAGTTCATAGTCCCACACTTCTCTGGTTATAACATGCACAAATTATTTGGATGGTATGGAAACACTGCTCAGAGAAAACCATGTTTCTTTTACTGTGGACAATAAAAGATTGTATCTCTTCTTTTAAATAAATACAGACTATATTTATATGAATATTTATCCTTGTGCATGCAGGTCATGTGAATCAGGTTTAGTTTCTGTTATACTGAATAGCATAATCCTATCTATCATAAATGTAAGTAAGCTGTTATATTGTTTGGACTAAACATTTGATCAGTGATACATTTTCAAAAGCATCTAGTAAGGGCCTGGGCGAATCCTTCTAATGCATCTTCTTTCACATGCTCTGTAACAAGGGTGTCTGTTTTCATTTTAGACATGGTCATACAGGAAGCAAAACCTTCGACAATGCATTCTAAGATTGAGCATTACCAAAATTTAAGGGGGGACATTTGTATTCATCTTGTTGATGATATGATTGCTTTTAATTCCATATTGATTTCAAGTTTTTGCCCTTGAAATATATGTTAAAGAAGGCCAAAGACTACCATGAAAGATTAGTGCATGATGTAAAAATGTCAGATTTGTGGGGTTATTTGGTGATTTCTGAATTTGGATATTTCCTTGTGGTCATCCAAGCTCAGATGTCTCTAAGGAAATCTTGCACTGATCACTGACTGGTTTGCCCTGTCAGCTTTGATGGGAGTGGCCTTCGTAGTCTTGTGATTAGGCTGTTTATTGTTAGATTGTTTATCTGAGTTTGTAGTTCCTTGATAGGTATATTGATTAAACATGTGAAAATACTCTTGTACATCTTTATGATTTCGTTTCATTCATAAACATGAAATTATTTTTTGCCTGATTTCCTGAAACAATCCATGCAATTGTTTTGAGTGAAAGGGAGGCCAAAAATGGATTTGTCAGAGCATATGTTTTCTTTTCAGAATAACATAAATCATTCTCAAAGAATTGATATGATATAGATTTCTAAAAACTTCACAAATAAAATTTAAACGTTGATATTTTGCCTAATTTTTTCATATCATAATCTAGTTCTTTTGATAGTCAGAAAAAATATTTTGAATTACAGATCGAGATTAAGTGAATATTTTACAATGGGAGTCAATTATAAAATACTGTAAAAATGAATATTCTGGCAATAGTTTGGAAAAGGGACAAATTTAATGACTATTTCAGATGCTAATAAAGAGGTTACGTTATACAATATAACCATTTAGAGAACAAGAAATCCAGGAAAATCTGCAAAAAATACTGGATGAAATTAGAAATAAAGAAATCAAACTGCAAAAGGTACCAATGGTTTCTAAAATCTTACATCAAATTGTTCTACCAACAATTATCTATCTTAACAGTCTGAGAAATGTGAAACAGAAACATTTTAAATGTGCAATTAATCAGGAAGATGGCTGGCATACAATTTGAGAAAAGAAACAGAAAAGAAAGTGATAGAGAAAATCCAAAAAGTGACATGGTAATAAAAATGACCTTATTAAAAAGTCTTTTTATAACTTTTATTCCAATGTTTATAAAAAACAGGAACTAGACATGCAAAAAAAGATCTACAAAGACAATATTTACTTAGTCTCTTACAAGCTTAGAGACAACTTACAAATGAACCGTATGTTGCCTCGTCTTGACTTCACAACTAACAGACACGAGCCACCACGTCAGGAACAAAGAACTTCACTTTATTACAGCAAAAATGTGGTTTAAAGTCAGCACTGACAACCATTACAGTCATGGTTCTTTTATACAATGCAAAGATACCCCGCCTAGCCCACACCCACGTTAACACCCAGGCACCACCACCCTCTTCCGGACCGCCCTACATACCCATATATGGGCACTCATCCCGATTATGCTAGCCTTCAGCTGCCGCCTCCTGACGCTTCCCGACGCTTCGACGGCTTCCCGACGCTTCGGCAGCTTGTATTGCTTCATTTGCTGTCATTGGCTTCATCTCGGCGTCCGTGCATGAGCACTGGGCAGTTCTAGCCCTTTCAACCATCTGCGCATGTGTTGTAGGGTGCTGGTCATCGTCTGCGCATGTGGAGAGCCGGCAAGGCCAGCTGGTCATCAGAGCGCTTTCCGCGCATGCCCGCCAGTCAGCTGGATGTCGGGCCATCGGGACGCGCGCCTGGAGAGTCGGGGTGCATTCAGAGCAGGTAACCAGGGCAGCCTCTGCTACGGCCCGACATACTGCCCCCCTTCACCAGGGCTCCCCCTGGAGGAAAGACAAAACATGTTACTTTGGTTCACACACGTCCACCTTCCCGACCCTCACTGTGTTAATGGTTCCTGGTTTTCCGGGATTTTGTACATGGAATTTTTTAACTAAGCGAGGAGCTTGTACATTATCAGCCCGTACCCATGTAGCCTCTGCTAAAGGGTAACCTTTCCATCTAATCAGATAATACAATTTACGTTGCTTAATACAGGAGTCAAGTATCTCTTGTACCTCATATTCGTCATCATTAACAGGGCCTGGTGCGGTTCTTGTCCGGTACATATATACTGGTTTCAGTAAACTGCAATGAAACAGCGGATGTATTTTCCCTAACAACCTGGGTAGTTGTAATTGTACAGTAACTGGATTAATGATTTTAATGATTTTGAACGGTCCAATGTATTTAGGTCCCAATTTCCTACATGGTACTCTCAGTCTTATATATTTAGTGGACAAATAAACTAGTTATCCTACAACGAACGGCTTACAGGGTTGCCGTTTTTTGTCCGCCTGCTCCTTCATTTTTCGCCCATATTCTACCAACGCTGTCTTCACAGCAGCCCATGCCCCACAAATCCTTTGTGTCCATTCTTGTGGGAGACATGATTGTGCATCAAATTGCTGGCACTCAGGGATAGGAAAAAAGTCTTTTCCAGATACCACTTTAAATGGTGCATACCCTGTACTGCCGTGTACTGCGTTGTTATACGCAACCTCTGCGAACACCAGCAGATCTGCCCAGTTGGTTTGTTGGTATGATACATAACTTCTCAAATACCGTTCCACCGCTGCATTAGCCCGTTCAGCCGCTCTATTAGTAGCTGGATGGTATGCGATGCTAAGTCCCTGCGAAGACCCGAGCAAGGTGGTGAATCCTTTCCAAAATCGTGCCGTAAATTGAACCCCCCGGTCAGATATTATTCGCCGGGGAGCCCCATGGATACGGTATATGAGTGTAAGGAACATGTGAGCCAATTTCTGAGCAGTCGGCAACTTTCTGCATGGGACGAAATGGGCTTGTTTTGAGAATAAATTGATTACTGCCCATATTACTGTATGGACATACAACGTACTAATTCCCAATGATCTCTTATCTCCAACCGTACAAGTTCAGTCACTTGAGTCACCGGTGCCCCACTTTGCTGTAATAAAGTGAAGGAGCAGGCAGACAAAAAACGGCAATGTGAGAAGAGTTTTGAATGTTATCGAATATTTACAATACAACGAGAAAACAACTTTAATATTTCTGGATGTGGAGAAAGCCTCTGACAATTTAAATTGGGTCTTTATGTTTAAAGTCTTGGAAGATACAAACTTCAGACAGAAATTTATTCAAGGGGTTACAGTGATTTAAATTTCATAACAAGCAACTATTATTAATGGAGACTTAAATAAACCACGTGAAATTCAAAAGAGCATGAGACTAGGATGTCCCATATCTCCTTTGTTGTTTATATTAATATTGGAAATCTTGACTAGAAATATTAGACATGATGAGGAAATAACAACATAGAAATTAGAAAGTTTATAAATTGAGGGCTTTTGCTGATGATTTAGTTATATTTCTACGAGACCCAAAAACTGGTATAGAATACTTGATGAAACAGTTAAATGACTTTGGAACTTTAACAGGTTTCAAGATAAATAAACAGAAAACATTCAATTTTATTCAAAGGAACTTGATTGTTTTCAAAAAATTTTGGTTATAATAAAATTAATTAACTCAAATAATTCTTGAGTCCATCAGTTGTAAATTTTCGTTAAGGAGGCCATCTGGTGTTTTCTAATGGGTAACCTTCAAAGCCTTCTTATCAGCAATTTATAAGTGCAATCACTCTTCCCACAGGAAAGGGTATTTTTAGTTGACTTCTTTATCTTTTTAAAAATCAATTTCATCCACATTCTTAGTATTTAAAAGCTAAAACCACACTATCGTTCCCCTTTGCAATTTTTACTTAAGATAAAATGCTACAAAACTGGCAACAAATATTTTTCTTCTTAAACTGATAGAAGAAAGGCTCACTCAGTGAATACAAAGTTTGCAAGTTCTGAAGGATTTTCAATCGTGAACAGGTTGGGTAAAAAAGAGATTATGGAAACAAAATATATTTATTTTCTTGTTTATATTTGTTGTTAAGATTTGAAGTCACTGTATTTGTTTCTTTTTCTTTTTATCTTACTTTGTACTTTTTACTTTTTTACTTTCCCTTATTTTTCTGAATATAGATTGTATTTGTTTTTATTATAATTAAAAATCTTCATTATATATATTGAAGATTTAACTATCCGTTTCAATATGATTTCATAAGCCAAGTTAGATTTTTTATTATGATTACCAGATAAGTATTAATGATTTATAACATCAGAATTATATAGATCTACCTTGTGTAATATTGTGAAAATTTTATAGGAGTGCAGTGACTCACCTGGTGAGGACACTGGGTTGATAATCTGCAAGCCCACATTTGAAGCCTGATTGCTGCTTTATGATGGGGTAAACTACCATCATTTGCTTCAGCTCCTGCTCATCTAGCAGTTCAAAAGCATGCAAGTGTGAGTAGATAAATAGGTACCACTTCGGTGGGCTCATTAATGGGGATACGAAAGGAGTCCCCAACTGGGTGTCCACTGAGCAATGGCAATGTCACCAGTTAATCTTTTCACCACGGAAATTCTTCAATGCTTCTGACACCAATGTATAATATATGGAAAATTTATTAGTACTGTATTTCAAACTTGACAGGTTCAAACATTCTGGAAAATACTTTGAGATAGGATCTTCTACTTAAAATTCTTTGTGGCATAACATTCTTTTAAAATCTATTTTGGCAAGTCATCAGAGAATTAAGCATAAAAGATAACATTACCTTTTCATAAAGCTGCATTTCATAAATTGCATTCTTCCTTCATTGTTTTGGGGGAGTTGTATAACCATTTTTGGAGAGCATGCTCATTTGGTTATTCATTCTGATAAAAAATGTTTTAGGAAATTGTGAAAATCTCTCACTTATTATTCATAATTATGCTACTGGTTTACTGGTCAGCTTTATAAACCGGTGTAGCATAAGAAATTAATTATGTTCTTATTGTTAGTTGCAGAAACAGCAAGCTTAAAATACAGCAAACACAAGAGCAAAAAGCTCAGAAGAATGCTACATTTAGGGATAGTTTTAGCCAAATCTGGTTGCCATTTCAAAATTATATTAATATTTTATACCAGAAATAGCTTTCTAGGTAGAAATAGTGAATATATTGTTTGAACTGCATTTATCCATTCTTATACCTGTTTTAAAATATTTCAGTCAGGAATTTTTCTCTATGGACCATTTTAAAAATCAGCAGTAGTAGAAATGACAGATGCCAAATTATGTATAATTGGAAGGATTTCATTTCTAGGAAGGAAATACACTAAGAAGTATTCTGAAAATGATTTCTATAGTGATTTAGGTAGCACATAAGTTTCTTATGAGCTTTGGATTGTTTGTAAAAACAAAATAGGCTCTTTAAAGATATTTTCAGCAAAAATGTGGAAAACCAGTTTGTTAGATGGACAATTTATCCTAACTATGCTATTTTCTATGTAACAAAAAATGAAGCAAAAATATCATCAGACTAATAAAAACCAAGACACTGCTTACATAATATTGCTATAGCAACATTAATGCTGTAATTATGCATCTATTGAAAAAAAAAACCTTACTAGGATTTACTCTCAGGTAACAATTTATGGAAATGTAGCCTCAAGAGATTTTTTTTTAAAAATAATATATTTTATAATTCATTTTTGCTTGCAGTTCTATGATTTAATCTGATATGAATTCCGGCTGAATAAAATAAGTGTTGTGCTACAGATATTCATTACAGTATTTGGCAATTTTCAGTGGATTCAGGGCACTACAGATTAATTTACAGAACAAAATTGGATGTTGTTAACAAAAGAAAGAAGAGTAAAAAAAGAAGATATATAGCCTACAGCAATGAAGAAAATTTAAAACCAATGGTGTTTTGTCATTACTGGATTCTCAGATTGGTAATGTTCTTCTGTAATCAGTCTAATGTAATCATTGAAGAGTAAGAGTAGAAACAAGGTGGCCTAGCCTTAAAACAATGTTCAGCCACACAAATCATTCTGTTGATTCAGTCACTAAGCACAACCTATTTCACAAGATTGTTGTTCTTAAAATAGCTTCCATGGGTAGCATATAAATGGAATGGGCGGTATAAGAGATGATTAAATTTTTTTATTAGTTTTATTTATAAAATGTGAAAATACAAAAGCAAATAGTAGGGGACAACAGTAGAAAAAGGGAAAACAAAAAAGGTGGAAGAAAGGGAGGAGACGAAACAAAAGGCATTGACTTCCAAGTCTCTCTGTTGCAGTAAAATCAGACATTAAAACCAAATCTCAACTTTTTACACTTCTATAGTAGTATGCACTAGCCAGTTTTATATCGTCGAATCAGTCTAATCAGTAAAACCCAAAATCATAATTTCATTTTTTTCTACCTCAAGTACGAAGTCCAGAAACGGTTTCCAACTAGAAACAAAAGTACTTATGCTCTTTTCTTTTATCAGAAGTCTTTTAACAAGTCAATTTGGCCATCTCTGCTAATTCCATCACCTTTTGTAACCATTTGTCCATGGTAGGAATCAAGGCATCCTTCCACTTTTGTGCATAGAGCAATTTTGCTATTGTCGCCATATATAAAATCAGAGTTCCAAAAATTTTTTCCAGTTCTCTTTCCATTAGACCCAAAAGAAAAGTTTCTGGTTTAATCTTTATGTTCACTTTAAGAATTTTTCTGCATTAATATATGAATCCTACTTCAATATTTTTTTGCCTTGGCACATGTCCACCATAAATGATAAAAAGTCTCTTCTTTACATTTCCAACATTCATTTGAAATAACTTTATACACTGGTGACACTTAATTTTTTGAGGACAATGATCCACAATAATTTTGGCTCCAATATCAGGGGAAGTCATCTGGGTATTGTTTAGGATTCTGTTTGACTTGGAAATCTTGATAGGCATATGAATCCGTAAAGACTATCAGCTGTTTTCCTCTGCCTTTCTTGTTCCATAAGACAATCCCAAAGAGGAGTTATCCCATGGAAGTGAGAAACACAATTTTAGGGGAGAAAGTTGTTCTTGTTTAAAAAAATCATTAATAAACTTTTATTACATGAACTTTGCTTTACACTTTCTAGGATACACAAGGATACTACTAATTATGTAGACCTACTGTATTTCCCCCAAAATAAGACCTGGTCTTATATTTTTTTGCTTCCAAAAGACGCACTAGGTCTTCTTTTCAGAGGATGTCTTATCTGCTTACCTCAGGACCGCCGCAGCCAGGCATTCCACGCCCTGACACCTGTTGCGCCACTGCCTGACTTCTGCAGCCACTCGCAGGCAGCAGGGCACGTTGCGCTGGTGCTGCTGATCGCGGCAGGACATCACATGGCATGTGTGAGCAGTAGCACCGGCGCAATGCACCACACAGCCTGTGAGCGGTTGCAGAAGTTGGGTGGTGGCATGACAGGTGTCGGGGCATGGGAGGCCTGGCTGCAGCAGTTCTGAGGTAAGTGGGGGCATGTGGGACAGCTTCACCCCCCCAGCTTGATTTTTATGTGTGCGCCTCAACCCATGGCAGGACTGAGTGGTGGGGTCTTAACTAGGGCTTCAAATCATTTTCAGGTAATATGGAACTGAGATTAATTTGGTCATCTTGGATGATCTTGATGAAGAACAGAACATGGAAAACTTGGTCTTATCAGCTATTTCTGTAGCTTCTAGCAACCTATTCATCCTTCTACATGCTTTGTGATGAGGTTCTCCAGACTTTGCAGCACTAATACTGAGATGCTAATCTGGTTTTCTGCAGATGCTTTACCCCATGTCTTTGCAAGGTTTCTTCAGTGCAATAGGTCCAAAGAGACATTACGTTATGGAATTTGTAGTCTGCTTGGTTTGAACTTAGGGGGAGGGGTATTGGTTATTGATTAGAGGCCCTGTGAGGTTCTTAGAATCATGCAAACAAAAGTTTTGCAGGAAAGGACGATTATAAAATTTATCCCAAGTGTCTAATTTTACTTTTTCATAAAAATCCTGATATATTTAATTTAAAATATTTATTAACTTTATATACTGCCTGACTCCCAACAATTCTAAGTGGTTTACAAGTAAAAAATATTAAACAGTGTATATATTTATGTATTTATGTATATATACACACACATACACTATAACAGGTAAAATACAACAAGATAACAAGAACAAAAATGAAACAGATGCACACAATCCAAGAGGGCTTCAATCATGCTCATTAAAGGCCTGGGAGAAAAGCCAGATCTTTGGGGTCCTTCGAAACATCAGAAGAACAGGAGTCATCTGGGTCTTGCAGGGAATCTCATTCCAGAGGGCAGGTATATTTCACAGGCTGCACTGTTTAACTGAAGCAACCCGGAGCATGCCAATCCTGACAAACAGAATCAACCAGGTAGAGTCTATGGAAGATAGGTCTTCCTTGAAGTAATCAGTCCCTGTGTCATTTAGATAACTGGACCCATTGGGTCATCACTTCAGAGCTATTTCTTTCACTAATCAGAAAAACAGAGTGACCACCGATAGGGGAAAAACGTGATAATAGGATTTCTTGCTTTCTATTGGCTTCTCCATTGAGTATCCCAGTGGGAAACTGGGAGCATTGGAAATCTTTATCTCTCCCTTCTCTCCTCTCTATTCCTTCCTTCCCCCCCCTCTTCCTTTTGCCACATCATGTTTAGACTTCCTGCTGGCATTCCCATTGACTTAAATGAGGATCATAAAGCCAGCAGGAATTAGCAAGTCCAAGCCATCAGGCAAGTGAATAGCTGCTGTTGAGTGGAGGAGAGATTGAGGGGTTGTGTGGGTCACTGGAGTGAATATAGAGACCTTGGATGAGGGGCATGGGTGGAAAGACTTACCCCAGCAACTTGCAATCTTCCCTGTTGGCTTTTCCATTGACTTTCTCCCTGAAAGCTTCCCACAAGCATATTGGGAAGGTTTCAGGGAATGTTGGGAATGAGAATTATACGATGCAGCTGATCAGTTGTGGTGCTGAAGCAACACCAGTGGAGCAACACTAAAGTGATCACAATTTTTCCAAATTTCATTCCATGGGACTTATAAGTCCCAGAATTCTATAAGTTTGAATTACCTTGGTTCAATAATAGTTGCCAATTGAAAGTTAGATTGAGAGTTTTAATAGTATATAGATGACCATGATATTATCTCAATCAAGAATGAAATGATAAATTGAGCCAAATCTTTATTAAAAGCTTATTTATTAAACTTTTAGATATATCAGTAAAACTCACACAGCCTCACTTATTACATAAAATGGTGAAGTGATGGAAGAACACTGTAGCTGACTTTTTTCACATCTGACCAACCAGAGGAACAGTTCACAAAGGACTATATGGTGTAAGACAGGGGTCCCAAATTCCTGGGCTGCGGCCTAGTACCGGCCATGGCATATTTGGAAATGGGTCTTGCAAGTGGTGGGCCTGCTCGCATGTGCACAGCTCAACTTGTGTAAGTTGAAATGTGCAGGGGCAAATGCATGTCAGCCTACCTCTCGTGTGGCCCAATTCACCTCTCCCCTCCAGGGGCCTCCAAGCCGCAAAGGTTGGGGACCGCTGGTCTAAGAGATATAGTTTTACTATAGAGGGTACAAAATAACAATGAGAAACCAGATGTCTGCTATTGATGCAAAGGAAAATATCATCTCTTTGGGAATTGCTAGTCAGGTCATTCATGTCTTTATCTCTACCATGAAGTCAACTGATATTAAATTGAAATGTAGCACAAAGTCATTTGTTTGGAGATGGGAAAAGATCCCAAGTACTTATTTTAATGATAGCCAAATTACTGCACAGAGAAGGAACCGCTAGCCACCTTTACACAGATTGCCATGACGCAA